GATCGTTAAGTCTTCAAAGGGTTGTGACCATGCTAACACCAAGATTTCAGCCCCATGAGGCTCTCTTGGACTTTTGCCCTCTACAACTATGAGAATAAATGTGTTGTGTTTTGTAACTAAGTTCAAGGTATACAGTTTGTATTAACAATCCCAGAAAGCTGGCAGAGTGTTCAACACAGGTCTCAGGACTGCGTAAAACTGAATCAAGTGTAGTGCTCAGGTTGATTATCTCAAATTATGTACTTTGTTCATCAAAAAATAAAAAATGACAAGTCATGTAGTAAATAGTTACAAATCACTTGAATTGCTCTCGATGTATTTGGTGATCAAACTTAATGAATATTCTCTTTATATAAAAGTGTGACAACACACACAGACTTTATAGTGCTACTATAAAAATTTTAAACAATATTATATTTGCTCTTTAAGTAAAGGGCTTCAGGAGAACGTTGTATTTATTAGTGAGAACAGTTTATTTGGGACTGTTTTATTTTTGCATTTTTTAGTTACCTTTACTTGAGAGTCTCCCTATGCAACACAATATACTCATTAGGATTAATTTCTCAGTTTATCAAGGACAGTTCTACAATGAATGTTTTTTTTCTATGAAGCTGAAACCTTTAACATATTTAAAACGAGAAATGCTGATATTACCAGAGAGCTGATTTTGATGTTATTACTGGTTACTCAGATTTCGAAGGAAAAATCAAGAATATATGAGAATAACTTCTCATTATGTATTATATGAAAACATTTTTTCTTTAAGATAAGAATATAAAAATGGAATTTTCTCTGGATTAATATTATCCTAGCCCAGGATTTTTTCAATACCACATATTTCCACCATGTGTGATCATGCCTTTTAAGCAGAGTATGTGTATATATGTGTAAGTATACATGTATATGTGGACTTTTGTTTTCTTTACTCTGAATCATATCACAAGGTGACAGTGAGAGTAAAATTATTCCCAGGAAGCAAAAATATAAATCATTGGTTCATTTGAATTAAGTAAATTTGAATAAAAAGCATAAAATTTTTTCTTTTAAAGTTATATGTAAAATTTTGAAGCTCAATGAGTTACTTCTTATTGTTGACATGAACATTATGTTTCACAAAGTTTGTATTTTTACCTAAAGCCAAAAATACTATCCAAGTTATACTCCTGACACAAAGAGAAGTATTTTTAAATGCCTAAATAGCCCTTTGATTGTAAAATAGACATGGTTCTATAAAAAGTGCAAATGTTATTGGCACTCCGTGGCTAGGGTAAATGTCTTCCAAACTTTATCAGCAAAAATGATTTATGACAAGTGCTCTGTCAAAATAAATGTAGTGACCACTGCAGGAGGTACTGCTTATGGGACTCCACAAAGAGCCTTCTTGCTTTCATTAACTCCACCTCCTGGTTGCTATGGTACCCAGTGACAACCATAACTTTTGGAAATTATCACCATCTGCCCACACCCCCTTCTAGGATTACATAAAAGCCCACTCAAGCAATAAAAATAACAAATACTCCATAAGCAACCTATATGGCTTCTCATTACAGATATATAAATACATAATATAAGGATTAGGAAGAAACACTGTTTTAAAAAACAAAAATAAATTGGAGAACTGTTAGGAATAAATCAATGGATTGTTATGATGTTTGTTAAAATTCATCCCGCCAGCCCCTACCCCCTTCCAGGGCAAGATGAGGCTACTTTGCAGATAAATTTGCAATTTTTTTATCCTTCACAAATGTTACTACTTTGAAATACAAAAGTATAGATCAACATTCACAGGTAGGCAACAATTCAAATTCCAGATAGAATCTCAGATCTGGTCTCATTTGCCTACGTTCTTTCTTGTTCCATTTTGAGGTTTATATTGATGCCTGTGTTTTGCAAGTTTTAGAAACATAAACTAGAAGTTTCTTCAAGAGTCCATGACTTCTTGTTTTAAAAACGTGAAAATTCAAACTGAGATGTTAAAAATAAAGTAGAAATCAGTTTGTTCTATGACGATAATATAGATGTAAAATTTTATCATTAACTTTTTTAATACCAACTTTACTTATTCTATGTCAGGAAGAATGACAGTTGGCTCTTCTAGGAAAGTTGCAGATAGAAATAAACACAGTCCTAGGATATCAAATGTCTACATACTCAAACTGAGTTGCGTAGTCACAATTCACTGCTTGCTTCCTAGGGAATACACTTAACATGCTTTGAGAATGATAGCATGTTATTAATATCATTAGATTGTTAGGTAATTTTTAAATAAATAATTTATGGGCTCCCCCAATATTTGCAGACATTATTCTATATCCCCTAATATTTGAACTTGCCCATCTAGAACAAACCCATGTAATAAAATTGTATTGAATATATTAAAGTAACACCATTCATGTGGAATTGTCAAACTGCTGACATGCTCAAACCTTTGGATCAATGTCTAAGAGTTGAATGTAAATAAAATAGACAGCAGTGAGCGCATTCGAAGCTATGTGCCAGGTTCCATTCCATTCCTTTTTCTAATCATGCCTACTTTACTAAGGAGCCTCCATGTCCTCATTCTTCTCTAGAAAACTGAAAGATCTTTTTTAAAAAAATAGAAACCTTAGCAAGCTTAAAAACTCCTGGTTTCTGTGTTCACAGCACATTACCAAAAACAATGGTAAATGGACAGCTGTACAATAACAGCAACACTTAAGATAATCCTTCTTTAAAAGTACATAACCGGGCCCGGCGCGGTGGCGCAAGTGGTTAAGGTCCTCGCCTTGCACGCCCGGGATCCCATATGGGCGCCGGTTCTAATCCCGGCAGCCCCACTTCCCTTCCAGCTCCCTGCCTGTGGCCTGGGAAAGCAGTCGAGGACAGCCCAAAGCTTTGGGACCCTGCACCCACGTGGGAGACCCGGAAGAGGCTCCTGGCTTTGGATCGGCATAGTATCGGCCCGTTGCGCTCACTTGGGGAGTGAATCATCGGACGGAAGATCTTCCTCTCTGTCTCTCCTCTCTGTATATCCGCCTTTCCAATGAAAAAATAATAAAAAATAAATCTTTCAAAAAAAAAAAATAAAAAAAATAAAAGTACATAACCACAATAACGATTCAAGTTAAAAATGTATATTTCTTCAGTGTCAATGTTCACCTACTCAGGATATATGTAATCTGTTACGAGGTAATTCAAAAATAACAGGAGCATTACAGTTTCTCCTTTGTTTGTTTGTTTATGAACTTTCTTAGTTTAAAATTCAACTTGGCTCAAAGTTATTTGATGGTGTTGATCAAGGGAGGTGTAGCTATAGCTAAATTGTGACACATCATCTTATTTCCCCATTTTTGAAGTTACAAAGTATGCATTATCTTTAAAAGATTAAACGTTGGCAAACAATTTGGTCATGTGTGTTTCAATAGGGACACAATCTAGAACAGAGTTTTCACTGCAGATAACTGATTATGCAAGACTTGAGAGTCAACACAGGCTTGTCAAACATGGGAGTAATGATACTGTTAAATGGTTACTTCGAAAAATATATAATTTAGTTCATTGAAAAGGTAATTATGAAAAATGTGAGGTTCTTCCTCTCTTACACTGAATGTTTTGACTCTTAGGCACATCTAAGCATAAGCATTTCCTATTTAGTAAATAATATTTTCAAATCTCAAAATTGGAAATTTTGCTATTTAGTTAAATTTAAGTGATACGAGTTGAACAATTTTAAATGAAGTATTTAAAATTAGAATGTCAGGGAGTAAGAATGTTACTTAAAAAATCCAACTAACCTAATCAAAGGAAATGATTTAAAAACCCTTAAAATTGAATAATCTTTCAGTTATTGATTTATTTTTGTATTTCTCAAATTTTCATGTATAAAATTAACATAAACAATAAGAGTCCGTGGTAATTTCAAGTAGTTGCTATTAAGAACATTGGAAGTTTTGCTGAAGTATTAGATATCTAATATGAATAAATAGCTTCACAACTCACCTAATATTTGGTAAATTTTCACAGAAGTAAATAAGGCTAGTCAGGCATTGACTTCAATGAATTTGCACCCAAATAAGCTATATGAAATCAAATTATTCACAGCTATATTAGAGCAAAGATTAAGATAAATGAGACAAAGCAAACAGAAAACACAAACAAGAGATTTCAGAACACACAAAAAAAATATTCTTCTCATCTTGCCAGGTTAATTCTTCTTGTTCTATTAGATGACATTTATATGAACTCTATGAGAGCAAGAATTGACACAAAGGTTTAATATGTTAGACAATAATATCAACATTGCTTTAATTTGTTCAAAATTTGACTCACTTCCTGTTAGCACTGAAGGTAAGTAAACACATGTATTAAAAAAATATGAGAATCCATGAACGTATCCATGCACTACCAATAAACTGAGTTATTTTTGCTGCTGCACATCGTGAAAGTTGCCTGCACTATGGAGCTTGAGAGGTCAAGGGTATCTTTTTGCTTAGATATTTTCAAAATTCTAGGACTAAACACTTTCAAATGTTCCTACAGAACTGTACAAGTTTGACAAAAAGTTGAAGGCATTTCTCTTTGACTCACTATCGCCTTCTATTTTGACAGGTGTCTGTTTCTGAGTTCTTAGAGAAACAAGAGTAAGTTTGAATCCAGAGAACCTGGTGTGAGTGATGACCACTGAGACCTGCAGGTGACCGACCTTAAGAAAGAAAGACTGTCTCTGAGTTTCCATTCCTCAACAAGCATATCGGAATAATAACTTAAGACTTTTGACATTTGTGGGAGTACTAATTAAAATAACACCTAGCACTTCATTAAATTAAGCTTATTTCATATTGTTTTGAATTATAAAATGATGTTAATTGTAATTGTGAAACAAACTGTCATTGTTTAATATTATCATAGTGTACACAAAATTTAATTGGTGCATATACATATCAGTGTCACAATAGGCTTATATAAAAAATAAGACATTCGCTGGTTGTTAATAATTTGGCATGAATAAGTAGCATTTTTACCTGTTGGTGGTATTATTCCGGGAGACATGAGGCCCGGGACAGAGTGTGGCATGATGTGCGAGTTCTCTGGGGAGGTGACACTTTGAGTCCTCTTAGGGGGCCTTCCAGGTCGAGAACTGAAACAAACAAAAATTTTTACAATTAAGCTGTTGTCTTACACATCATTTCAAAGTTGTTTCAAGTGGTAACATGGACTGTAAATAAATTTGTTTCAAGGACGGTTGCTTTTGCAGTTAGATGTAATAGACTTCCATCACTAATTAGATTACATGCTGAATTCATTTTCCTCATTGAAGATCAGCCACTCCTGATGCATAATTCATAGCCTGCACCTCGTTACCTGCTTCTTCATATTAATATCTATACACAGTTTGAATTGCCTCGTTTGCATATGCTAAAGTTCTGCATGCAGCCTTCAGCACGAAAATTATGCACTAACTTGTAATAATTATTACAGTCAGCCTGCTATTGATTTATGAGACTTTTAAAAACCAAATATGTGTAGTACTTGTAATGAATGATATTTTAAGGTTCTTCAGGAAATTAAAAGGCAATGGCTGCCTAAGGAAATGTTCTGCTTGTTTGATTTAATACTACAGTTAGCTGGGAGGTGGAATGAAAGAGTGATTCAGACCTATGGCACATTTTTGCGATGATATGTTTTATTACTCCGCACTGCTAGCCTGATATCTAGATGATAAATGACAATACATATCTAAGATGTGAAAAGGTCTTGCAATTTCTTTATTTTTTTCATTTAAAAGATAACTTATTGTTTAACCCTTATTCTATTTAAGTGAGCAATCCAGTTGCCTTATTTTTAATATGTGAAAATAAATTGGAAAAATTGGGACTGTCTGTAGAAACTGCATAACTGCCAGTATAGCATCTTATATCTTCCTTTCAGATAAATAGACTTAGTATGTGTGTTTTAGCAGTACCTGTTCTTTACATGCTCATTGCAAGAAAGTAATATTTTAAATTATAAAAGCAGAAAAGGAAATGGAAACAAATATCCACCATGCTAGTATGAATACTTCATCAAGAGTTTAAAGGGCCAATTTTTGAAACATATATCTTTAGCAATGATTCTCCCACTGTTTACCTCTGCATTGAGAATAAGCTTTTATGCAATGCTCGCCCATCATTTATCTGGCCAGCATGTGCCTAAAAAAGATTACAACTGTTAGATGTTAGATATGCCTTCCATAAGTAGGCATTTTTATGTTGCCACAGCCTAGATTCCTTCCCTTATCAGAATATTCACAGATCCAATATCTTTTTATTTTGGTTAAGTAATATAGGTAGGTACTAACCAAATAATTACGAATTACCTACTGTTTTCAAAGCAGTGCACTATGAAGGCCAATTTGGAGGAATTGGTTCTTAGTCTTCAGGAGCTTATACCTTGCCAAACGGAAAAGTATGATGCATAAATAACTCTGAAACAAACTGCAATGTGCTATAACTCAGAAGAAACTTGCAATTTAAATATTAATTGTAATTTAGGTGGGAATACTTCCATGGTCCAGAGAGAAAGATGGTAGTGGATGCACTAGAAGAGAATATTGAAGGAATAGACACAAACCAAAAAAGAACTGACCAAAAAACCCCACTCCATTGAGAATATGAGAAAGAACTTAAAGTGTCAAAATATTGGGCTGTATAGGATTATTCAACTCAAACATATGAGACAGGAAGAGGAGCAGAGAACAAGATTGCTGGACTTACTGTCTGGGGCCTGATCCAGAAAGCATTATAGGAAGACCCAGGAACTGATGTTTGCCCATTTTATGAACCAGAAGAGATACTCCCCTGCTCCCTGTGTTTAAATATCTCTCTATCAACTTCTTACTCTCCATAATTGCTCTTCTTCTGCAGTTAGGTTGTTTGACTTGGATTAATCATCAGCTATCTGATACTCTCCAGTTTCCCTGAGTAAGAGCTTCCATTGTCATCACTTAGATGCTAAAGACTAAAGGCTAAACATACATCTGCAGTCCAGATCTTTCTCCTGGGATTCAGACAGATTAACGCCTAGCTACCGGACATCTCTGCTGGGATACTCTCTAGTAATCTCAGACTCAGCTTGTCCAAATCTGAACTCAGCATCTGCCCCATTAAAGCCTATTTCTCTTTTGCTGGCTCAACAAAGTAGCAACTAGTGGACTATGCTAAAAAGCCTCAACTGGTTTACTTCTAAACGTCTGTGAAGGCTGGGACTGGCCCTAGCTAAGGCCAGGCAGGAGCTGGAACTCAATCAGGGCCCAGTTGTGTTTTTTCTTTCTTTTGAACACTCGATTATCACCCCTATAAAGATATCTAACCTATATCCTCTACTAAGTCCTCATTCCCTCTGCTCAGGCCAGTCTCTTCATTTCTTATTTGATCTATTGTTTCAGCCCTCCAAACTCTTTCAAGATCTGTCTCTATCTTCCCTTACCTCCCAGACAACTAGAGTCCAGAGAAATTTCTCTGAAACACAAAATTGACCATGTTTTCCATTATGATTAAACTTATAAGGAGCAGGAGGCATGAGGCACACTAGTGACACTTGAGGACATCTGCGTCTCACAGTGGAGCATCTGCGTTTGACTAGCTCTGCTTCCAAAGCAGCTGCTAGTCAATGTATACCCTGGAAGGCAGCAGATAATTAGTGAGGTAAGTTGGCCCCTGTGATTCATGTACCAAATCCTGACCTGACACATGTAGCAAAGCCTGGACCAGCCCCAACCTTCAAAGACATTAAGGAAATAAACCAGCAGATAGCAGCGGGGGTCTCTCTCTCTCTCATAAGTCAATTAAACTAATAATGAATAATTTTGTTAAACAGAGCAATGTTCCCTTATTGGATTCACACTCCTTGACATGGGCCTTGGTACTATGGTACTTTTGGTACTTGGTACTTTTATCAACGAAACTATTTTCTAACAACAACCCATGCTCTTCTCTACTTTTACTAATCTTCCTTCTTAGTCTCTAGCCATTATTCTTAATGTAATTACAATCGATAGCCAATGGTGAACAACTATATTACAACCCTTTTTGCACTGATTACAGTAACTTTTTCACTCCCAAGATTGCATCGAAGAAAATGCATAAAATATGCCTCCGTATCCCAAAGCACTTCGTCATCTCCTAGTTACCTTTTGTTTTCACTAGATTTTAACACTTTTTGTGAAGTTATTTTCTCCAAATTCCTCAAGTACCCTATTTTTTCAACTCCAACAGTCCAAACACTTTCAGAAAATGAAAATAATGCCCACAAAAAAGTTTGAAATGCTGAATCTGAACATTAATCCAAATATGCCTCTCAAAATCAGAGAAACAGAAAAGAGATTTAAGATCACCAAGAAGATGGTATGGAGAGAGAGTGGAAAAGGAAGATGAAGGTAAAAATGTCTAGTTCTTATGCCTTTAACTTTTGCTTGTAAAGAAAATAAAAACCAGTTAGGAGTTCTTTATTATTCAGGCCACAGGAGTTGTCCTCACAGCTTTCACTGGAAGCAGAAGCCAAGCAACTACATAAGAACACTTTCATTCACGCTGTGATTAGAATAGACCCAGTGGGCTCTTTCCACCACAGCTATCCTCAGCCCAATCTATCACATTGCTTCAAACTCCACCAATAGAGATTTGTTGCTTTTAGTCTTAAAGCTTTAAGCTTCCTTAGAACCTTTCATTAAAATGCAAATACTCTTGGTGGTGGTAACACCCTAAAGCCATCTACTAACACCCCACTGGGACTTACTTTACAATTAGGTGAGAGCTCTTACACCTAACAAGGGAGCTAAAAGAAAATATTTAGAAGAAAAAATCAGATCACTTAAATTTTGCACTAAGACCTACACTATAGGGAACCTCCTCTTGGAGTCATTCACAACTTCTTAGCCAAAGGGAAGTTGTAATTAACAACACTCTCTTGTAGCCCTTCATGAACTACTGCAATGTCCTATAGTTGAAATATATATGTTTGTTTAATCTGGATCCTTAACTTCTAGAAGCTTTCAAGGAAAGATAACTGAATTGTAGAAGTCTTAAATTTCATTCAAAAATGTTTTAGAGAACTTCCAAGAGAACATACGCAGTGCTGTGACACAGACTGTAAGACCTGAATAGATCTGGTTGTAATATTGTCTCTATCAATTTGTCAGAATGTGTGGCCTTAAGCAAATTCCCTAGCTTTACTGGGCATCTGATTAAAACATGAATTTTTCCAGAATGATTTTCTGTAACTTGACTATTCTGCTCTGAAGGCCTCTTCCCAGACAGATCACCTGGTAGTGTCTTTTACCTGTGGCTTACAACAATAAGTCAACCTCAGGAGAATTTCTGTCTCCCTCAACTATTAAAATTCTGACATATTCTTCATAGTGCAAATTCAATTAAACCACGACAATGATAGACATAAAATAATAAGAAGTACATTAGAAATGTTACAAGGAAAATATTGTGCAGATTTTTCGCTCCCCAACTTTCTTCAAGTCACCATCTTCTTCTAAACACTTAAGTAGGTTTAGAGAAATTTTGTTCAATTCTCTCCCTGAGAGTTGAGGCAAAGAGATATCAGAGACTACAAATTAAAGAATATGAAAATAATCACCCAGCAGAAACTTTGGGTCCAAATCCTAACTGACTGGAGAAAGGAAAGAAGGGTTGCACTCACCCATGCATTGTTAATGTATGCAAGAGAAAAGAGCTACTATAGCAAAGTAATAGACCAGACATTAGGTTAGCAAGACATAGAGAGACCTTCTTTTAAGCAGGAAGATAAAATGAAATACCCTGTGGGGTAACACTGCAGAGGAGAAAACGTGGCAATAAAAGAACATAGAGATCAGCTGTTAGACACAAACGAGCATTTAAGAGTGAAAGCAGTTGGTATCGTGAATCTACAATATACTTGCCTTCTCCAACCTACTCAATCCCATGAGAGCTCCCAGTCTGTGTTACGTATAGCATATTGCATGAATTTGTCCTAGTAAGCTAGATAGATATGTGAGGACTTAATAAATATCTCACACATCTCACATATCATTACATATATATATATTTCTTACTGAATGGATCATGAAGAATGATGTTTCCAAGTTTATGATAAATGGGGAAATGTTTT